TTTTTTCCTTTGGCTTCAAAATTTTCTCTTACCTTTCCTCCCGCCCTCTCTTCTCCTTCTCTCTCTCTCTCTCCTCTCTCTCTCTCCCTCTCTCTCTCCCTCTCTCTCTCCCTCTCTCTATCTCTCTCTGTGTCTCTGTCTCTGCCTCACTATCTCTCTCTCTCTCTCTGTCTCTCTCTCTCTCTCTCTCTCTCTCTCTCTCTCTCTCTCTCTCTCTCTCTCTTCTTTCTCTTTACCTCTCATCAGTTTAGCTATATCATTATGAACCAAAACCGTTGACCATATTGGCTAATACTACTAATCGTGCATTCAGAACTAACGCGAAAAAGGAAACGAGCAGTATGCGAAGCAAAAGCACGCAAAAAAGTCTGAAGTTCAGTAGACGTACTGCTTACTGCTTGTACCATAGATGTGCACGAGAAAGCTGTATGGCTTGTACACTTTATTCAGCGGCGACAGTGGCATGAGTTGTATCGACAGAAGAAGGAGAGCAACTGATACCAACAGCAATAAACCCTAGTGTGATACTACTACTACTACTACTACTACTACTACTACTACTACTACTACTACTACTAAAATCCCCTGAAAAAAATCCTCCTCACACACTTATATACATGCACACTTGTGCTCAGACTTTCCCATACTTTAAATAAATTCACGCACCTAGTCTTCCAAAATCATAATCATGAATCTAAAAAAAACATGAAGAAAAGAAAAGTGAGAAGAAGAAAATGAATCATGGATTGTCGTTACCCAGAGGGAAAAAAGGAGGGGGATCAGGTGCGTGCGTTCCCATTTGCTGTATTAAGGAACAGACGACATGCTTGTCAAGACTCAGAGTTGAAAAAAAACAACAATAAATGAAAAGTCCCAAATTTCTAAGCCATTTAAATTTCAATTTCTAAGGGCTACCAGACTGCCAATCGTGGGATTATGAGTTTGGAAGTTTGATGCTCAGTAGCATCTACCGTGATCTGGTAAAACGCATTTTTCTCAAAATCAAGGTTTCGAGATAATCGCGATTTAGTGTGGGGGGGGGGGGGGGGTTTGTTGCTAACTAAACAAACAAATAGCAATTGTTGCTTTTGTTTGACTATCCCACATGAAGATATTATATCTCATTTACCATAACGAAACCAAATTTTATCGAATTCCCGCTAAAGACAAACAAACAAACAAGAAGAATGCCTTTTATCAGATCACCCTTGTAGAAATGCGTTTTATATTCAACGCATTAATCCCAGAATGATATGATAAAACTCATTTATTTTCGGTGTCTCGTTAATAAACGATCCCGTAAAACGCAGCTGTAAGAAGAATTATATGATTCTTGAACCTACGGACCGAAAGGCGAAGTTGTGACCTGCCAATTGACCTGTGATCTGATAAAACACACTTTTCTTCCCGAGATTGACCAAAAAATGCGTTTCATCAGATCACAGTTGAGTGGTCGACGCTGAGTCCTTAGGAAAGGCACTTTACACGAATTTGGCTCAGTCCTATCGGAGATGAACATTAAATTCGATGGTTCCGTCTCTTAAAGAGTCTTAAAGTGTTGGAAGGGGGCGTTAAATAAACACTTTCAGTTTTTAGGATGCAAATCTATCATCGTGTGTGAAGATATATTTATTACATACTGTGTTCTTGTTTCTTACTTGCTTCTATCACTGAGTGGTTAATTAATGTCGTATATTAGTCTATAACTATTTCAGTTTCTAGCTTTGGTACACACACATTCACACACACACACACACACACACACACACACACACACCACACACACACACAATGTTTCCAGTTTAGTTGATCGCGACTAGGTTCTTGTCATTATGAAGTTGTTATCATTATTATTATTGTAGACTCAGATCGTAAAACAAAATTATTTTTCTGTTGTTAGAACTAAAAATGATTTTAAAAATGAATAGATTAT